CAAGTCCTACAGTCTCTAGAACTGCGTCTTGCAGGCTTGGGAAAATCCAGAATTGGAAATTCAAAATGCTGTTTCTGCTGAACAGGCATCTATTTTGCCTCATAATAGAGTCCAAAAATATGTGATTATAAAGGAAAAAAAGATAGGTCTCTGGGTGTTATGAAATGGGTTACCTTTAATAGTTTTCAACAGATGCAAATTAAAGTTTGGATTTAAAATAAAAAGCAGAAGGATAGGAATGGAATCTATAACACAGCACTTGGGAGGGTTTACTGAGAGATTTTACAGAGGTGTAGGCAGGTGTGCAGAAGCAATAAGCAGAGGGGCTGGAGACAGGGGGAGCAGTGTGCAGAAAGGTAGCACTGCCCAGGGCCCCAACAGGGGGCCATCAGCAGAGAGTGGCCATCTCCTCCTGCTCCCTGGTTCCTTTCTCCTGTCAGTGCTAACCATTGCCCAACCCAGCCAACACACAGGGCCAGCAGGCATTGATACTGTCTTCCAGGGCTGATCCCAAGCACAGAGTGGGTGGGCTGCTGGAGCGCTTTGGGGGTCATGCACAGCCCCCAACAGCAACCCCCAGGCCAAGGCACCAGCCCCACGGTTCCCTCCTGGCCACAGACATCCAGATCCTTCCATTCCAGTGAGACCTGTCAGAGAGCTGTGAGATCTGTCACCCTGGGAACCTGCTGTGGAAGAGAGAAGGAGCACAGGATGCTTGCTCCTCTTTCAAGCTTGGGTTCTGTAGTTTGGAAATTAAGACATCAGGGTGGGCAATCTGAAGAGTCTGGATGCCCAAAGGTATGCATGTCACACTGGGAAAATCCCCACCAAGAGGGACAACCCACCTCCCCTCCCAGGCCAAGGGAAATCAACAGTCCTACTTGGGACCCCATGGCTCCTGCGCCTCCTACCTTTCTAAGTGGCTATACTGGTGGGTGATGATGTGGGGCTCTTCCTCTTTGACCTCACATGGAAGCTTTCCTCTGGAGGTCTATCCAGAGGAGCACACCATTGATTGGGAGTGGTTTCTGCAATGTGCATACCACTTTATGGAGATGCAGAGTGTGGTGCAGGAGAGGACCCTCATGGAGCTGACCATGGTGGTAGAAGAAGGACCCTGCAGGCTTCTAGGAGATGAGAAGGGAAAGAGGAATGTGTCATACATGTAGAAGGTCCTGGAAATGTATTATCTCCCTTTTCTTCTCAGAATAGAGGGCAGTGACCTAGCTCTCATGAGCCATTGGTGGTCCCAGGGGAGGGACCTCGGGGGGGCTTTCTCCCCTCCCAGGGCAAGGTCCTCTCTTGAATCCATGGAAGGTGCACAGGCGGATTCAGAGAGACAGGATTCTCTTCATAACATACACACCTTTCTTGGTGAGTGTGAAGACATACTCTCAACTTTTGGTAACAGGAAGACAAAACTGCTGAGCTGGGTGCCTAGAACGCTTCAGAAAGTGGTAGACCAGATGGTCAGAACCAAAGGAATTAAAAAGAGTATCAAAATGGCAGAAGACGACCTGGACAACACAAAATGTCACACAAAAGCAGTGACAATTCAGTCTTCAATCCCACGGGAGTGGGAAGCTGTGGGGACAGAGAGTGGGAGAAGACAGAGAGGGGAGATGAGCAGCTGTAGGAGGGTCTCCCAGCACAGCAGAGCTGGGCAGGAACCTGGGCTCTCCCTCCTGTGGGCCACACAGAGTTCTTCAAACACGGTGGACAGAGCAGCACTGTGACAACCAGCTGTGACAACGGCTGAGGTGTCCAGGGCTCAGGGCCTGGGAGAAGGAGTGCCCCTGGGCTAGACCAAGTTCATGTGTGTGTTGGGGGGGTGCAGTGAGGAAGTGTGTGGGGGCCCATGGGACCAGCAGTCAGGGCCGTGTGCACCATGCTGAGCACAGTGCAGGGGAGCTCTCCCCAGGAGTGGGACACCCTGTGCCGTGTGAACAAGGGCCACCAGCTTGCCACAGGGGTTGGAAGAGTGTGCGGCTTGGAGGAAGGGGGCGGACTTCACAGAGCCCCCTGAAGGGCTTTCCTTAGTAGCTCCGCTCTCCCCTGTCCCTGGCAAGCCCAGCGCAGCCCAGGCTGTGCAGCCTGTGGAGGGCAAAGGAGGAGCAGAGGAACCGCCGCCTCACACCCAGGGCTGCATGGGCTGGAGGATGGCAGAGGGCCAGTGGAGGGTTTGGCCACTACTAAGGTTCCCCTGCAGAGACTGGACAGGCCAGACGTGTTTACAGGAGGTCAGCAATCTCCTCAGAGGGCAGGACCCAGCCTGGGCCAGGGTGGAGCCACAGGCCCACACAAGGGAGCATCAAGACAGTAGAGTCACCCGTGACCACGGAGCACCTGCTGCAGGTGTGCCAGGCTCAAGGTAGTCTCTGGGAAATGCAAGTGTGACCAGACCTTGCCCTGTCTCCACAGAGGTGACACCTCATGAAGGAGGTGGTCATATCCCCCACTCTCACCATTGTCCCTCGAGATACAACAGAATCTTGGCCTGAGTTTAGGCCGCTAGGGGCCCAGAAGACACCTGAGCCAGCGTTGGAAGGGCTTCGAGGGACAACTGCACAGCCAGGCAGACTTTGCATGGGTCTTGCCAGGAAGGGGACTTTCCAGGAGTCTGTGAGCACAGGGCAGCCCAGAAGGAGGACCTTCCTAAACAGATCTCAGGAGGCAGAAGCTTGTGTGGTGGGCAGTGGGTGCTGGGGAGGAGCAGAAGTTCCCCGCATGGGCAGGGAGGCGGTTCTCCAGGGCTGGGGGTTTGAAGTTCTTTTTGATGGAAAAGAGAGACCTGGCATTTATTTAGGAGGGAATACCTCCACAGCAACTTGGGTGGGAGGTGCTGGGGCTCCTGAGGGCAGGCGCTGCCTCTTGATCTTAGCAAAGGGGCAAAGGTGCAGAAGGATGCAGGTGTGGGGGCCAAGCCCTCCCTCCCAGCTAGGGGCCCGCTCCTTGGACCTCAGTCTTCTCCTGTGTGAAATAGGAGTGAGAATCTTCCCACTGGGAGTGTGCTCCTGGGGTGAGTGACTGACCCCTATTCCTCTCTGAGGCTGCTGCCTGACATGCTAAGTCAGTACCCATGATCTGGGTCCAGGTGGCGGCCACTTCCCACTCTCTGGAAGGCCCTAAGGTCACTGTCATGGTGTGCTTATAAAAGTGATGAGGTTCCCGCAACAGAGACCGGGAGGGACCAGGGCAGTGGGGGAAGCTCAGGGCACAGACTGAAGGAGGCCTGCAGCACCCGCCAGAGGGGGGTTCCTTCAGTTTCGGACTGGGCTCCATGTGGCCCTTCCTCTCACAGTCCTGGCTCAGCTGAGACTCAGCCCAGCTGTCAGTTGGGGGCTTTTATGAACTTTCCTAAAAACAGTCACTGGTTTGTAGGAGCACTGCTGCCCAGCTGCCCAGAGTGAGATCTGGGGATGTCCCAAGGCCTGCATGTTGGCACCTGTGTCCTGCAGAGACCTCTGTCACTGTGCTGATGGCCAGAAGAAGTTGGGTCTCTCTTAAGTCTGAGTGGAGTTAAGCAGCTCCATGGGCTTGCAGGCTTCCTGGGAGGCCCTGGGAGAGGGAGAGCTTGGGGTCTACCACCTAACACCTAGCACGGGTGGACCCTGTGTGGCCAAAGGACTTCAGCCCAGGCCGATGCGGGCTGCAGGGCTCCCCTGGTTTCCACAGACATTTGAGTTTCTGGGGACCCCGTAAGGAGCGGGGGAGGGTGGTGTGGAGGGGTGGAGGATGTTGATCCCTAATCACAGCAGACTTTGGGGGACTTGTGGTTTGGAACCCTCAGCTGAACTAAGGGGTGTGGAAGAGGGGTTCCTCAGTTCCCCGAGGGACACGTCATTCCCCTGCACCAGGAGCAGGAACCCCCGAAGGAGGGCCAAGCTTGCTGGGAGCCAGCCCAGGTTCTCCCATCCTTTTCCAACCTGGAGAAGTCAGGGGGCAGAGCTGCAGGGAGGCCTCCCAGCCTCCAGAGAGTAAAGGGGCAGGAGGAGATGCACTGGAGATGCCCAAGGGTCCCGCTACCTGGAACACAGAAAGCTGGACTCCCTGCTGCAGTGGGGTGGCCCCAGGGAGTCTAGTCAAAGGACCATCCATGCTGCCATCAGTGCTTCAGGCAGCTCAGAGCATCAAGGGACAGACAGAGGTCAGTGGTGGGAACCCGAGGTTCAGGGACTAATTCTATGAAACGGATCCACTGTGCTGACCCCCACTGCGCTGACCCCCACGTGCTTTCTTTTCCAAGAAGCCATTTACCTGCAGCCCTGCCTGGCCTCAGTGGACAGGATATGTCCCATTCCTCAGTAAACTACTCTTAACTGTAGGAGAAATGCAGGCCCCAAATAGTGTGGAAAAGAGGAACAAAGGTACCCCAAAGGAGGGGACTTTTGTGACCAGATCCTGAAACTCTGAGAGACAAAGGCAGTTCCTCCTAATCATAAAATCTGTAAGAAGGTACAGTTAAGAATCCAATTAGAACCTAGAGTTCCATGACAGTGGGGACCTTAGAGTCACCTTGCTGTCCTATGATTAGTCAAAAGTCAAGAGGAGGACTGTGCAGGGCTTTTGGAACTCCCCTGGGACACCCAAACTGAAGTGCAGGAGAGGATCCTTGCATCTCTCCTCTCTGAAAGCACCCATTCTCTCTCTTGAGACTGTTCTCTTCTTTCCCCTTCAATACATTTGTCCTGTTATTCTAAGGGACACTTAGGAAATCTTTGGGACTTGATCGGTAAGAATCAGGGTTTTAAGAGGGGTCTTTGCAGCTGGCTGTATAGCAAGCCTCCAGCTTCTCCTAAAGATCAAGATGCCCATCAAGATCCCCACAAGTTTTTCTGAGACACAGCAGGGTGGCCTGGCTGGAGCATCTCCTTTCAGCAAGATCCAGGAGGAGGAGCTCTGCAGGGCAGCAGCCTGATCTGGGTAAGAATCGGTTTCATTTCTGAGCCTGGCTCCACCTCCAACTCCACCTCCAAGGCTGGGCTGCAGAGGGACTGTCTCCCTTGTTTTTCTGGGAAGCAGGCGGGGTTTGTCAGAACCACATAAAGCCTCCCAGCTGGACATCACCTGCACTATACCTGCACAGGGACAGGTGAGTGTCCAGAGAGGCGTGGAAAGCACAGTGCATTCCTGCTGTGGACTGCCGCCCAGGGGAGGCACTGAGGGGGACATTGCTGCCTGCAGGAAAGTTGCTGAGTGTGGGGAACAGTGATACTGACAGGAGCTGCAGGTGAACTCAGACCCCCTTTCATTCTAGTTCCCACCAACTAACTCCTGCTGAGGCCCTTGGGTGGAGCTTGAGAAACTGTTCCCTCAGCAGCAGTGGCTTTTCTGCTGGTGTTGGTGGGCAGGCAGAGGGATGGGGAGTGCAGGGGTCGCAGAGGGACTCAGGCTAAGGCTGAGCCCTGAGAAAGTTTCAGACCCAGGGCTGCTGGGGTGCGAGCCCACCCCAGCTGCTGACCATGGTCTCGGTGGGTTGTGTTTCCCCCCTGAGGAGGTGCACCCAGCAAGGCCAAGTCCAGGAGATCCCTGGAAGGGCAGAGGAGTCCTCAGGGATCCTGCAGGAGGTTCCCAGGAAGGGGTAGCAGGGACTGGCTTGTGCACAATGCCCCTGCTCCAGGTCCTCCCCAGCCGTGGACTTGGACTTGGACTTGGACTGCCTAGGATCGTGGGGTCTTGGGGGTACAGAAGGGTGTCAGTGGCTGGGGCAGACTCAGGTTCAGGGGTCTGACTCAGTTTGCAGAGATGCCTTGGGTGGGCCTGGAGGGGTGGAGAGTGGCAGGAGTCCTGCAGACTGATAGAGGACCCAGGGGCCTGGGAGTCCTGTCCCCCAGGAGGTTGGTGACCACCCACTGCTCAGATGGGGTACTAGGAATGAGTGGTCACATTGTAAGTCAAGGTTTTTCCTGGAAGCCCATCAAGTGCTGGTGGCCACGAACTGTCAGTCCCAGAGGGTTCTAGAAGAAAAACAAAAAGGGGACTAGCCCTGGGAGGGCTGTTTTCAAGCCTAGACTGACCACCTTGGGAAGGTGGCTGGTTCTCAGTGCCCTAGGCTGTCCCTAGAACTGCTGGGCAGGTGGTCCCTTTAGGCTCCTGAGGGAGGAAGGCTCTGAATCCTCCCTGCGTTCCCTGCTAGCCTTTGGGCTCTGAGCTGGGGACGCTGCCCCACATGGATGAGCCCAGCCAGCAGGCTGGATGGCCCCTCACCTGCTGTGGGCACTGTGCCCAGCAATGCTGGCAGCTGGCACCTTGGTCTGGGAGATATGTGCAGGATCCCACAGACTGAAATCTGGAGTGGAGAGGCAGCAGCCTCCCACCCAACCTCACAGGACAGTCGGTGGCCACAAGGCAGGATCCTGCCCTAGAAAGGAACACAAAGAGCCTCAGCACCTGGACAGTGGCCCCTCCCTGACCCTGAAGTGTGATGACAACAGAAGTCCAGGCCAAACCCAGTCCTCTGCACAATGTGACCACACTACCCTCGTGGGCCCTGCCCAGTGGGGTCTCAGTAGTGAGGGAGGAGAGCTAGGGAGGAGAGAGAGGCGGCCCAGCTCCCTTGCAGTCTCCCCGCGAACACAGGGTGCACTATCTGCACCTCAAGAGCAAACGTGGGCTGAGAGCTGCGGGTCATGACCAGGGGACTCTACCAAGCCCCATGGTGCTGGGTTTGCTTGGTCCAGGTGCACATGGCAACTGGAGGCCCAGAGCAGAGAGAGTAGAAACTGGTGGAATGACTGAGATTTCCTTTCTGTGAATCCACCCTGATGATCAAATGACCCTAGAAAGGTACAAAGCTTGTGGTTTGCAGACAAAACACACAGGACTTAGCTCTCAGGAATCTCCATAGGAAACAAACAGAGGAAGGGAGTATATACCCAACGACTGCTTTGGTTGCTCAAAGCGAGTCCATGGTCATGGAGAGCAGGCCAGGGACCCATGATGTCACCTGATGGTGTACTAAGGCCCACTGAGACCGTCCTGGCCCAGGAACATGCTGATCTAGGGGGCAGACGGAGGGGGTCTTCTCTGTGGAGCCAGGGACACTGTAGGAACCCAAGCTCTCAGCCCACGTTTGCTCGTGAGGTGCAGATCCTGTTTCCAAAATAGGTGGAGGGCGGTTGTTTCAAGAGAGTTCTGTGGATGGACAGACTCCCTAAGTGGCCTCTGACTCCATGACCTTCCTTATCACCCCACTCCCACAGACAAAAGGAGCCACCCTCCCTTTCCAGAGGGCCAGGGATGACTAGACGCTGCCCTAGAGGCACACAGTCCTGGGGTGGGCAGAGGCTGTTGTCCTCCAGAGGCCTGGGCTGTGGTCTTTACCCAGGCCCCATCACCCAGGGCCAGGGCTTCCACCTGCCCTGACTGGCACATCTCCTGTGAAGTTCAAGGTGGACAGGAGACAGGGAAGAAGATGAGTCCTCCTCCATCGGAAGTCAATTGTGCTAATCCTGCTGCTGTGGAATCCAACCATCTCTTCCCAAACGGAGATGCTTCCACGGCAGAGAGAAATGAGGCATTGGTGAGTGGCTCTGTTCAGAGGGATGCTTTATTTGGGGAATGTTGACACAATAACAGGAAGATGGCTGTCACAGTGGGTGTGAGTCCTTCCCATCCCCACCCTAAGACTTATCACCCAGCAGGAGGGGCGTCTGGGAGGGAACCCTAAGCAGGTGCTGTAAGGGAGGAGGCGTCGGGTGGGCCTTCTCCTTTGCCTGTGACTTCAACCCTGCTGCTGACACCACTGGACAACTGTTGAGTATTGCTGAGAAATGGAGTCCACCAGAGCAGGCGAGAGGCCAGCATTTCAAACCCAGAGTAGCAAAGACCCCAGCCCCCCCAAGGACCTGACTTGAGCTGCCCTGACTGCCCCCCAGGGCCTCGAGAGCCAGTCCTGTTGTGATTCCTCCTTAGAGCTGGGAAGCCGGCTGCCGAGGGAGGGAGACCTGTCACATCACCCGGCTGAAAGGGCCAGTGTTGGGATCAGTCCCCAGGGCACCTCAGTCCTCACTCCGTGTCTGCTTCGTCCCAAAAGGTCTCCGTTCTACACTGTGGAGACCACGTGGCTTCCCTAGGGATGGAGTGTCCTAGTGAGACCTCCACACTGAGCCATGGTGAGACAGGAGGCAGCACAGTGCGCCCTGGGTGTGGATCCCAGCCCTGTCCCTACACCAGACCATCTCATCCCCCTGGTCTCCCAGAACAACATGGCGCCCAGCCACATTGAGCTAACCCACTTGGTTGCACCTGGGCCCCAACAGAGCGTGCAAGGACCCAGTTGTCCTGCTCCAGGAGGGACAAGACTGACTCAGTTCCTGGTGTCAGAGGTTTCAGTTCATGACAACTTGCTGTTACCTTGAGATGTGGTGTCAGAGCATGGCAGGGAGCCTTGCCACACACGGGGCTCCCCTCAAAGGCTGGGAGACAAAGGAGAGAGGAAGGACTGCCCCTACGTCCCCCCCAGGCCGCACCTGTTACACTACACACTAGCTCCCAGTCATTCCAAGCTGGGAACTCAGGCTTCACCACATGTGCCTCCGGGAGACAGGTCCAGATTGTAACCTCTGCTCTCCCCACCTGCCTGGGAAGCAGCTGGTCCTTTCTAGCTTGGGTGAGGGTGTACGTCTGTGAACCCCACGTCCACTTCAAGGTAAGAGTGAGGCTGGTTCTCAAATGCACCCCCGGCCACAGCATCCGCAGAGCCTGGAAGGTGCTGGAACTGCAGGTACTCGGGCCCTCTGCAGCTGAGACCTGGAGAATTAGAGACGTAGCATGGGGCCAGGATCAGCATTGATGGCCCAAGTGGATGTCTCTCGCCCTCTGGAACCCTGTGCTCCCGGAGGCCACCTGCACAGCAGTGTTTATCACTTTTCATGGAACCAGCCCAGGGGAGAGTGCAGAGCAGGAAGAGGTTGCCTTGTCGGAATCCCACACTGGCCATCACGTCCTGGCCAAGGCCTGCAACTTCTAAAAAAAAAACAAAAAAGAAGAGCAGCCTAATGAATCCTCCTTAAAATAGAACACAGTCACCTGCCTGGTTCCTGCCTGCTTCTAGATGAAGGCCATGTGTGCTGGCGGGAGACACGCTGCCCCTCCGTCCCTGGGTCACCCACCGCCCAAGCCATGCTCATCCTGCTTCTTTTCAAATAGAGGTTTTGGTGGGTCTAGAATCCCACGTTCCTGGGGTTTTCTGAGTGTGTTTAGCCGGTCAGAGAAGGAGGGTACAGCCCAGGGGTAGGGCTGTGCTCAGCAGAGTGGGAAGCCTTGGACTGAAACCCAGCAATAAACCAACCCGCACCAGAAGCAGTGTCCCCCACCTGGTTGGTGGGAGGTAGGAAGCTGCTGTCTAGCCCATCTTTGGTCCTCTGTAGAGAGTGTTTCATGTGCTGGCCACTTTTAGCATTTCCCTTCGGCCCTGTGCTACAACAAGTTGACTCTAAGGTGCATGGATGTAGTTTGTTTTGTATTTCCTGTTTTGGGGTCTTTATGAGGGTTTTGGACCTTTGGTTTATGTTTTGCTTTCGATGGAGGGGTGCGTGCACGACTTCTTCAGGTATTTCCCCCTCCCCTTGGTGGGATTCCAGGGACCCTGTATTACTCCTGTCCACATTGCCACCTTTGGTGGAGCGTGACCTGCACATAACAGAGTGTCCCCTTGGCCTTCTCCAGGGGTCCGAGTTCAACCTCTGCAGGCAGTACGAGGAGAAGGTGCGGCCCTGCATCGACCTCATCGACTCCCTGCGGGCCCTGGGCGTGGAGCGGGATTTGGCCCTGCCTGCCATCGCCGTCATTGGGGACCAGAGCTCGGGCAAGAGCTCGGTGCTGGAGGCTCTGTCGGGAGTGGCTCTCCCCAGGGGCAGTGGTGAGAACTCATTTCTAACTATTGTCCTCGGGCACCTGGTGGCTCCCAGAGCAGTTCTGTGTTCTCCACAGTCTGGAGGCTGCAGGTGCAAGGTGAACGTGGGTTCTCCTTCTTGTGGCATTTCCAGTGACAAAAATACTCAGGGTCACTCCAGGAGAACTGGGCTGCACGAAATAACCACACAAGAGACAGAGGGGGCTCCTGTGATGGTTTCTCTGACCTTAAGGGTCCTCAGAAAGAGAGAGCTAGTATGTGCTGCCCCTTTTATTGGGGAGAAGCCATTCAAATGAGGCAAGGGGTCAGGTTTCAGGGGTTTGTGTCTCTTGGCAGCAGGTTGGACTGACATCTAGGAAGGCCACACCCAAAGGCAGAGCAAGCGAAGGGGACACACAAAGGGAGTTTCCATGGAACATTCTATCCCAAACAGGGCAAGGGGGTAATATCACAAAGAAACAGGTGAGCGTACCTCGATCCATGGGATGCAGGAAGGTGCACCTATGCATGAAGACACATTCTGCTACTTTGATGATTGGGGCAGCCATCTAGGGTCACTACAAATGTGGCCAGATCATTACAAAAGTGACTGACATGGCCTCAATAGACAGGGGAAGGAAAATGCTGGTCACATCAGCATGACAGCGCTCACACCTTCTGGGCTTGCAGCTGGCCACCTCTTCACTGTGCCCTAACCTCACGTGGCCTTTTCTCTCTGCAAGATCACTGGGGTCTCCACCTACTTTTACAAAGATGCCAATCACATGAGTCAGGACTTTCCTGTTGTGACCCCTGATGACATCTATCAACTCTAATTGACTCTTCAGTGGTCCCATCTGCAAACACAGTCACTTCGGTGTGATTGGCTCAGCCTGTGCATTTGGGGTGAAGAGCTCTCTGTCTCTTGCATCATCTGGTTGCACGCTTTTGTGGATTGTATGGGGTCTGCAGTTGGTGGGGAGTCTGAATGGATAGTGTCCCTGCCCAGAACACTTGGGTGTCTTTCCTGAGCTCATCACACCAGGTTACTGGCCAGCTGGGGGACAGTGATGGGCACTCTGTAGAGTGGTGCGTTTGACTTGCATGGACAGGGGTGCCTGTGAGAGCTCAGAGGCTGAGCTCTTAGACAGCCAGGATTCAGAGAGGGCTTATAGAGGCTCCTTCTGTAGGGGAATGTGGCCTGGGGGAGCAGTGAGTGGGGGGTGGCTCAGGAGCAGGCAGGGCTCTTTGCCAGTGTTTGGGAGTTTGTCACCTGAGCTGAAGGCAGTACATTGGGTTGAAACCCCAAAGTGTTCATGGGTTTAGATGAATGAGAGAAAGTCCCTGGGAGGACTGTTCCAAAGCTCATGTCTGAGGTCACCACAGACCCCATGCCCAGGTGCAGGAGAGGTCACTGCAGGGTTTGGAGACCAGAGGCTTCTGCCTGGGCATCTCCCCTGATGATGGCATAAACCTTGGAGATCTGTTGGTGCATGGCCCCTCCAGCCTCAAGAGCAGAGCAGAGGACTGACATTAGCGTGTCTCCTAGGTATCGTCACCAGGTGCCCTCTTGTGCTGAGGATGAAGAAGCTGGGACAGGAGGATGAGTGGAGGGGCAAGGTCAGTTACCTGGACATGGAGTTGGAGCTCTCAGAGGCTTCACAGGTGGAAGAGGAAATCAATAAAGGTGAGTGCCCCTGGTCTTGCCTGGACACCAGGCCCAGCTAGTGCAGAGGGTCCCCGTCTCCCCTGCCTTGGGCCTGCTCCCTCGGGAGCCCTCCCTTCACCCACCCCAGGGCTACTGCACTTCCTCTGCCTCATGTTAGGGTCACCCACACGACTTGGGGACCTGGGTACTGCAGGAGCAGGGAGCTGCCTAGGCCACACATGCCGACGTCATTATTTGCAGCCATGTTCTAGACTGTAACAGACCTTCCAGAGAGATGGTGTCTACGCTCAGAAGCACCAGGTGGCCCTCAGGAACCTTCTCCCATTCTAAATGTGTCAATACCGAGAGGGTCCAGAGAAGAGCAGGCTCCTAACAGAACTCACCAGTTCCTGGTGCCCTAACAAGTTCCCAGCTCTGGCCTGGGTCCCCTGTGTCCTCCCATTCCTCTCTGTGACTCTCCTCCCACACCCAGGGGAGGGTCACAGCATGCCATCAGGAAGGGCTCCAGGCTGGCCCAGTGGAGATGTCCCAGGTCCCTCTATAGGCAGTCCTATGCACCGCAGGGAAAGAACCGCGGAACCTCTTGAGGAAACATGGCGTCCAATCTCCAAAGGGGACGGGGCTCCAAACCTCCTGCCCCCCAGGACCCCCAAGCCAGAGCTGCTGTGGCAGGCTCCCTAGATGGGCACCTCCCTTCAGCTGCACCCCGTGTCCTTTCCTCTGCACAGCCCAGAACCTCATCGCCGGGACAGGGCTGGGCATCAGCGATGAGCTCATCAGCCTGGAGGTCAGCTCCCCCAGCGTCCCGGATCTGACCCTCATCGACCTTCCTGGCATTACCAGGGTGGCCGTTGGCAATCAGCCCACTGACATCGGGCGCCAGGTGAGACTCCAGCCTCCATCTGCCTGTGCCCCGATGAGGGGGCGCTGCATGAGTGCAGCCGGGAGTCCAGGTCCTGGTTGAAGGGGGCGTGTGGAGGTGATTGGCAGTGGAGAGCCAGCGTCACGATCCCCAGTGGACGGAGACGACCGTGCAGACAGGCAGCTCTGTCCTTCCTGCCTGTGGGAGCACAGCCTGCACTTCTGTAGCCTCCAAAGAGAGTGGTCGGGAGCTCTGGACGCTCCTTGAGCATTTCAGACATTAGCGCACCACCTCGTCCCCTTCCTTAGAGAAGAAGGGACTTTGGGCCTCAGAATGCAGAAAGGCATCATCTCTGTGTGTTCGACCGAGCCTTGGTTGGGTCACGGTGACGTTTTGTGTGGCACACACCCTGCCATCTCTTAGAGGGCTCCTAGTGGGCAGAGAGGGTGAAGGCGCAGGGGAGGTGACATCTGGCCTCCGTGGCTCTCACCCCAGGAAGGAAGACTCAGGAAGTGAGTCAGGCAGTAGGTCTGGTGTGTTGCTCTCCACTGGGACCCTCGGATCTGAGGCCTCAGGGACAGTAGGCAGCCACAGCCTCACGGCCTTCCCTGACCTGGGGCTCCACAGTCTGCGGGCACCGCGGCCCTGAGTCTGGCTTGGCAGAGCCATGGGGTTGTGTTTGCTGGTTCACTTTCCCACGGGTCCTCCTTTGAGGAACCGGTTGCAGACACTGAGAGCCTCAGTGCAAGTGCATGGTCTGGGCCTGTCTCCTGCTTGTCCACCCCAGTGTGTCTCCTGCTTGTCCACCCCAGTGCTGGGAAGTCACGGCCTCTTGTTTCCTATAGATCAAGCGACTTATCAGGAAGTATATCCAAAAGCAGGAGACCATCAACCTGGTGGTGGTCCCCAGCAACGTGGACATCGCCACCACAGAGGCACTGAGCATGGCGCAGGAAGTGGACCCTGACGGAGACAGGACCATAGGTGAGAAGCAGGGAGCTGATGGTGGGACCACATCCCTGAGTCCGGGGAGAGGCTGGCTGGCCAAGGGTACCTGCACATGGCTCAGGAACCCCCCCCCCAGGTGTAGGTTACGTGTCTGCTGGGTCTGGAGGAAGGGAGTCACGTTGACCCTTATTGGCCATCTCATGGCCTCCTGACCCATGTCCCTTTGGGAAGGCGCCCTGGGCTCTGAGGGCTGGGCAGGAACAGGATGGAGAAGCTCCCAGTTGAGATCTCTGGAGGGAAGCCAGGCTGGTCTGTGCATGGTGAAGGATGGACAGAACACGGCCTGTCCCTCCATGGGCCTGGGTGCAGGAGTGGGGAAGGGCCACCCCTCTAGCATGGCCCCCTGTCTCCCTGAGGCCTTCCCTGCAAGTTTTTGTGGACTGGGACTCCAGCTGGCACGTGGGTTCTGTAGGGGCCCTTGTCTGCTGTCACCTGGGCTGGGAGGAGGCCTGGGGGCTGGTTCTTCCCCTCTGCCGTGGGACACTGCACGGTCTCTGATCCCAGTCCCTGGCTGGCAGGAATTCTGACGAAGCCCGACCTGGTGGACAAAGGCACCGAAGACACCGTGGTGGACGTGGTGAGGAACCTCGTGTGCCACCTGAAGAAGGGCTACATGATAGTCAAGTGCCGCGGCCAGCAGGACATCCAGTCGCGGCTGAGCCTGGCCGAGGCCCTGCAGAAGGAGAAGGCCTTCTTTGAGGACCACCCCCAGTTCAGGTCAGTCAGCTGCACTTCCCCAAGGCCAGCCCCAAGCAAGGCGGCCGTCCCTGCCGGGGAGAGTGGGCGGGCTGAGGCAGGTGTTGGCAGTACGTGTGTATGTGCGCGCGCGCGTGCACATAGGAGTGAGTGTGCGCCAGCCTGTGTGCCCCGGGCACTGACTGCAGAGTTGTCCTGAGAGGAAAGGGACGCACAGGGCGTTGCCCCCTAATTTAAGGGAATAAGGAGGCTACTTGCTATGGTCATCTAAGCATATGGTGCTGGAACCAGAGTAGAAACATGGATAGAACAACAGAGAAAAACAGAGAGCCCAGGTCGGACACAGGCGCCTGCGTGTTTGACACTGACCAACGCACAATTCACGGCAAGGAGCCAGAGAAGTCGCTGCCAGTCAGGGGCATGGGGTTGTGTTGAACATCTGGGGAAGCCTGAGTGGGGTCTTCCCTAACTAGCAGACCAAAACGGACATCAGCTGTAGTTAACTTAGCCATGAAAGGTGGCCTGGTGGGTCCCCGAGGACCTCGGCCCAGGCATCTGCAGCCACAGGTGCAGAAGTGCCCATGTCCAGTGAGGCCTCTTCAGAAGGCAGGACTGACACGCCGGTGGGATCTCAAGGAAGAGCCAGGTGGAGTCTCAGCCTTATGGCCTTCAGTTCCCTGGGAGGCTTCAGGGCGTCCCATGGAGTGACAGGATGCCCCAGGTGCATGCAGAGTGGCAGCTGCACTGCGTTCCACAGCAGCCAGAAGGTGAGAGACGCCCAACATCCAAGGAGCGAGGAGCACAGAAGCCAGTAGCTGTTGGCAGGAGGTGGACGCTCCCGTCCAGGCTCAGAAAGGCAGGAAGCCCCCTCCTGCTGCCACATCGCTGGACCTTGAAGAGACTGTGCCAAGGGAAAGACTATGACACCAGACCAAGGCCGTGTGTCTGCACTGAACGAGGTCCCTGGAGCCAGGAAACTCACAGCCACAGGAGAGGAACTGGCCAGGCCTTGGAGGAGGTGGGAACGGGGCTTGGCGGTTAATGGAGCAACGTTCCAAGACAGGAGAGTTCTGGAGGTGGGAGGTGGCCGTGGTGAGCCACAGAGTCAAAGTCTTAGTGTCTCCGAAGTGTGCACTCTAAATAGCTAAAAGTCAAACAACATGGCATGTTTCATACACGTTAGGAAAAATGGATGCTTGTGGACAGTCAGGCTTGGTAAGGGTCTCCAGTCCCTGTCCCCTGCCACCCTCAGGGACTACAAATGTCAGAGACCTGCAGTACCTCACCCTGTGGGCCCAAGTTTGGCATTACAAGGAGACTCTGTGGCCTCCCCCCTCCACGTGAACATGGTTGCAGTTCTCATCCCGGGGCAGCTGTGTCTCTGGGTTCCCCAGTTGTCACGTGTGTATGAAAATAGGCATCATGTTTGTGTGCAGTCCCGTCCCCACAGGTGTTGTGTAGTCACGCCTTTTACACACTAAACGGTGTGTCTGTGCGCTATGGAAGTGTGTCTGAGGGGCACACGTGTATGCTTCATAGACTAAATCTGCAGTTGGATGTCTTGAGACACATTTATTTGATGAGCTGGAAGGGACAGTTCCAGCCCCTGTGGACATACCCGAGCTGCCCACAGGCAACCATGGTTGGGTCTGATCCAGCTCTGAGCATTGCTTGGGTACCAGCTGTATGCCCTTGTGTTTGGTTGGAAGCGCCTGAGTCTGTCCCGGCCTGCCATCTGCACATGCAGACTCTGATGTGCTGTCCACGTGACCACGGATGTCCCTCTTGCTCTCTCTCCCAGGGCTCTGCTGGACGAAGGAAAGGCCACGATTCCCTGCCTGGCGGAGAGACTGACCACTGAGCTCATTGCACACATCTGTGTAAGCAGACCCCATGTCCTCTCTGAGGGGTCCCTGGCACCCAGCCGTCCACAATGCTGGGCAGGTCCTGTACCCAGACCTCTCAAGGCTTCTCGGCACACATCGTGCTGTCTTTGCCGTTGGTGACTCCAGCACGAGAAGCCTTGGTGTGGGGACTCTGCTGCCTCACACAGCAGATGTAGGTGGCACCCTGGCTGTGAGTCCATCTGTACTGGGCTTTGATGGTGGGTATCCATAGGAGCTAGGTTCCCAGTGGGTCTCCAGGGAGAAGAGTGTTGGCTGCTGTGGGACCTGGCAGAGTGTCCCGCTCACACCACTGTGATTCTCAGCAGATGGGCCCCAACCAGGGGGGACTGGGGCAGCAGCCCTGTTGGAGAGATCCCTCCCGTGTGGGCACAGATTCTCAGTAGAGATCTTGCCATGCTGCCCAGCACCAGCGTTCAAGGTCTTTCCCAAAGTCCCAGGGTGCAGGGGGAGAGCAGGGTGATGTCTGCTGGACCTGGTCATGAGGGTGGCACTCTCTGGGCCAGCGTCACGCAGAAAGAGCTCTTCCCTTAGCTAACTGCCCACTTAGAACTGCCTGGGACTTACCTTGGCCCTGCACTGGGTCACCTCCTAAACCCAAGCTCATTTTTCCTAGCTAGGTCACCGCCCGGGAGGCCCAAGGTGAGTCTGAGGCCCATCAGCTGGCTTCGGACTCTGAGTCCCCTCCTCACATTGCCAGTCGGGGGCGCGTGTGAGCGAGGCTGCTGAGGGCCTGGCTGCACCCTCCAAGCTGCAGGGGCGGGGACCTGGGGGCAGCAGGGCACCTTGTATTTTATTGTATGTACTTTTCATTTTTAAATAGGACTTTTGCATTTATTTCTGACTTTGCTTCAGACGTGAAGTGATTTCTTTACATTATGAAATGTATCAAGTATATAGAAAACAGTTAATAGACACATATATACCAACTTGGTAGATTTTTCAGTATTTGCTTCAGATTCCCCCCCTTTTTAAAAAAGCCAATTTTATATGTGCTGTTTACACATATATGTATGAGGGTGCAGTGCATTTTAATATATTTAAAAAACGGAAAGAAAAACTCCCAACCCCGGGGGTGGGAAGAAGGGGAAATGCAAAGGGCAGGGAATTCAAGAGAAGAAATGTAGTAAATTATGTCCGATTCTCTCTAAAGTCGTCCCTATTCTCACCTTCCGTTTATTCCCTTAATTCCCTTTTGTTTAAATCAATGAACTTCTCTTCCCCCCTCCCTCCTCATTTATTGGGTGTTAGCATCCACATATCAGAATGTTTGGCCTCTGTTTTGTTTTGCTATTTTTTGGATTGCCTTATTTCACTTAGTAGGATAATCTCCAGTTCCATTTGGTTAGTGGTCAATGCCATAATTAACTCTTCACTATGGCTGAGTAACGTTCCACTGTGTACATACACCACATTTTCTTTATCCATTCATCTGTTGAAGGGCACCTGGGTTGATTCATAGTTTAGCTATTGTGAATTGAGCTGCTCCAAACATTGATGTGGCTGTGTCCCTGTAGTACGCTGATTTTAAGTCCCTTGGGAATATACCGGGTAGTGGGATAACTAGCCACCAGTTAGGAACAGAAGTCCCTGCTAGCTTCTCCCTGCTGAGAACAACATCTAAATGTTGAGGAATCTCAAGGTGTTCCAACTGCAGACAGTGGATCTGTCTGCACCCCTGCACCACCAGAGCTGGTGGAAAATGATGCAGAAACAGTGGCACGTTGGTGGCTCCTAGGTGGCCAGGAATCACGCTCAGTGGGCGTCTCTGTGCAGCTCATGGGCTTGTGTGCAGGAGCAGGCTGTGGGCAGCCCTGGTGGAAGGGGATGCCCAGAGTATCTCTCTGCACAGGAAAGTCTTTAGAGGACATCAGGATGTCACATGTACCTTGCAGCTACTCCGGTGAGCAGGCCTGTGGCCTCATTTTTTTTCTCCGAGTCCATATTTGTATATCCCATCGTTTTCCCAGAAATCCCTGCCACTACTGGAAAATCAAATAAAGGAAAATATCCAGAAAGTAACCGAGGAGTTGAAAAACTTTGGTGTGGATGTCCCAGAGGAGGAGAGCTTGAAAACTTTCTTCCTGATAGACGTGAGTATTGCCCGGGGCCTCGTGGGGCAGATTCTGCCTGGTGTCCACACGGGGATGCCGAGCCTCCTCTGCTTCTGTCCTCACTCCCATGAGGCTATCCACGGCCCTCTGCCCACTTGGTCCTAACAGGGGCAGGGTTAAGGCAGTGGCCAGGGAGTGGAGGGTGTGTGCAGGGTGAGTAGCAGGGAGGAGGTCTCAGTCCTCCCCTCCACTGAAGGTGACAAGGGAAGGGTGGGACTTCCTGGTACCTGAATACCTCACCCCCTTTAATCCAGAGTCGCCCAGGAGCGGGATAGACTCATCCAAGCCCAGCACCAACAGGCCTGCAAACACCCTGGCGTCTGTTATTTGAAGATCTGCTCACACTGATGTTGTCCTTATTTGCAGAAAATCAATCAGTTCAATCAGGACATCAATGCTATAGTACAAGCCGAGGAAGTTGTAGGGCCCGAAGAAATGCGGCTGTTTACCAGGATGCGAAAGGAGTTCCACAAATGGAGTAATGAGATCGAAGAGAACTTCCAAAAGGGTGAGTGTGCTGGGTGTGTAAAAGCAGTGGAAACCCGCGGCTCACTGTTCTGGATCTGTGAATGCCAGATCCAGGCGCCAGCTGATTGGGTGTCTGGTTTCAAGATGGCGTTGTCCAGCTGTGTCCTCAGAGGGAAGCAGAGGCCAAGCTCCCCTGACCCTGTTTCTAAGCACAGGCATCCAGATGTTGGGATAGAGCCCTCAGGACCTGAAGTCCCACTTTTAATGCCACCACATGGGAGAACTTCAGCATGAACTTGGGGACGAGTTTGGCCATGTCAGTGAGTCCAGGCCTGGTCATAGCAGGAGCCTTGGGCTGAGTCTGGGGGGAGGTTCCAGTGGTGGGGATGCTGGAGAGGCAGCTAGGAGACAGCAGCTCACCTGCTCGGCTCCATGCTGCGGGACGAGGCCATGAGCCTTCATGTCTGATGCCAAGGTTACCATAGAATAGGGGAAGATCTATTGGCCCCAACACTTCTTAGCCTCTAGAAGAGACGCTGCTCCTCAACAGTGAGTGGAGGGACATGGTGCATCTGGTGTCCTAGATCCCCGTGAGGGTACTGCTGGCACAAGCCTGGCCTCCTGTGGCAGCAGAGAATGAAGATAAACAGCCCACTGGACACCACCAGGCATCCGGGGAGGGAGAGGGCAGTTCTGGAATGATCTATCCAGATTTCAAGAGGCTGAAGGAAGTCATAGATGAGTTGATCAGGGTTTGGCAGCCAAGCATATTCCAAGTGACCTGCTGTCCCTCAAGGACCTTGATGTGGGTCCACTATTCACCTCCACCCTCCAGAGCTTCAGAGCAACAGATTTCCTTGGCTTTGCGTCTCAAGCTGGGGAAGTGGTGCTCCTCTCTGGGTAGGCCACCTGTGGAACCCACGGGCCGACGGCGTGGAGGGGGTGGGGACTTGGGGCAGTGCTCTTTGGAGAAGCCCATGGAAGGCTCATTAGGGGACAGCGACTTACCTCCTCACAGTGTACTCTGTTCCCACACTGCTCACCCCTGCCATTCCAGGGAGCAGAGGCTGTCCCCTACTGTGGGTGCATCGGGGTTAGGGAGGGACACCTGCCCATTTCCAACACGGAATCCTTTGCAATCTCACGGGGGTGAAACGCAGTGCATGGAGTGTAGAAGACAGAGCTCTTGAGACTCCATAGTAACACCCGAATAACCCAGTGAGAAAATGGGAAGAGACCCGACTTCAGGAAGAAGACCAGAAATGCCCAGGCACCTGAAAACCACAGGGTGACCACGTCACAGCCAGAGATGGACAGGACCCTCACGAGCTGCTGGTGGAAAGGGAGGTGGCACAGCTGCTTTGGATGATGGCCAGCAGCTCCACCCCTAGGTCCACACTCCAGGGCCCTGAGACCCATGTCCACACAGAAACTGCAGAACAGGGGTCCCCACAGAAGCCCAGGTGTCCCCACAGCAGCCCAGGTGTCCTCACGTGGTGGCCTTGGCCCATGTCCGGCTCTCCTCTATGGTGCTCACAGGAGCACCCTTATTTAAATCCCTTGCCTCTTACAGACCCTGCCCACACCACGGTTGCACTATGAGGCCTTAGGTGGTGTGACCCACACCTGCATTTCCAGGAATTTCCCCAAACCACACACAACTGTGCGACGTGAAATTCTCAGTCCCGGGCCCAACGCGTGACCCATTCTGAACATGGCTGGACCTTGGACACACCCTGTAGGTGCAGGAAGCAGTCCCAACAGGCCACATGCACCTGCGTCAATACCTATGACGTGTCCACAGTGAGCAGAGCTGTCGGCCAGCCAGCAGAGTGGTGGTCGCAGGGACTGGAGAGAGGGACCAACTGGCAGGGACAGTGACAGCCTGTGGCATCTTCCAGGGGAGGACTTGTCAGCCTCTAGAAGACAGAATGGTGGGGTCCCAGATCAGGGAGACACGCCGAGAACCACAGGACTGTCCACTTGGCAGAGTGAGTGGTACTGCCTGAGAACTGATCTCAAAAACAATTTCCTGCTAGGAAAACCCCTGAGCAAACAGCCCCCAGAGACCACCCTTCCAGGTGGAAAAGCTGGGCCCCTCTGAGGCTGCATCCTGAGCGTCCCCAAGGTCAGGCACCCTGGGCACACAGTGTGAAGAGAAGCTGAGCATTCTGCCTAGTGGACAGTGTCACTGAGCCTCGGTACAGCACCTGAGGTGCCTGTGCCCTCTTGTCCCCTCTATGAGGGACACATCCTCTGTCACCACAGCCCAAGAGCACCTGGTGGGCAGGTGGCTGCAGCTGATGTCAGGGTCCTTGCTGCCCCCAGAGGCCCTGTGGTCCTGGCTGGGGAGGAGATGTGTCGTCCTCTCTCTCTGGCAGAAGTGGGGCAGGGTGACATAATGACACAGGCCAGTGCTTTGTCCAGTGGGCCTTCCCTGAAACCTGCACCTGCTGTTCCTCTGTGTGACCCCTGGGGGGGCCTAGGGACACCACAATGGCCGTGTCCTTACTACAGACCAGAGGGTCACCCATTCCCAAATTGAGGTTCCTGGGAATTCCTTCTCCCACTGAGGTCTTCAGAAGACCAGGAAGGTGGTGTCGCCCACCCGCGGGGGCTTTTCCCAGCCCCTTTCCTCCTGTAGGGCATGGAGTTCTGCGTAAAGAGATCAGGAGGTTTGAAAACCAGTACCGTGGCCGGGAGCTGCCAGGCTTTGTGAATTACAGGACGTTTGAGACGATCATAAAGGAGCAGCTCAGGTCCCTGGAGGAGCCGGCCGTGGACATGCTGCACACGGTGACGGGTGAGCACCATGTCACTTTCTGGCCTTCACTTCTCAGGCAGGAGGGGGATGGGAGCCAGGCTCGGTTCACAGCTGTTCCCGGGGTTTTCTCCCAGCAGCCCTCTCTCCGCCCAGACCCCAGCCTGCTGTGGGGCTCCATTCTGACACACCACCCCACTGGCTAAGGACACACTCCCCCAAACTGTCCCCCAGAGTACGTGCCCATCAGGAGCCCATCCCTGCCTGTCCCTCAGGCCCGTCCTCAGGTTGGGGCGTCACAGGTGGTCCCAGGAACATGCTGCCTGGCCCCTGCTGTGCGTGGTGCGGGTGTGGAGGACACGGGGCTTGCGCCATGACGGGTGGCGTGGGTCTCAGCTCAGACGCTCAGAGGATTTCTGGAGGCCTCCCACCGGGGCCTGGTGATGACTGGAGCCCAGCCCCACTTCCCTCCCCGGAGGGTGGGCTGGGGTGGACACTGCAGCTTCTACAGCTGGCTTGTCCTCCTGGTGACCCACCTCATCCTGCATCTGTCAGTGCCCACAGCAATGTCTAGTGGGGCGAGAGATGCTCCTGTCAGGCAGGAGGTCCCCATGCCTCAACAGGCATGTCAGGGCTGGAGGCCTGGCTGGGGTGCCCTCTTACCCTGCCCCTGGCCCACGGCCCTGAGCACAGCCCTGGCAAAGCTCTGTGTGTTGGCTCCTCTGAGAAGCGGGGTTGGGGGAACGGCCATGCACCCAGTGAGGGCCTGGCACTGCCTCGAGGGTCGAGTGGGTGCGGTGGCATGGCTGTGGTCAGGGACCCAGGTCGGAGCCCTGAGGGCAGACCCGACTTTGTCCTCTCTCACCCCTTCCTGAAACCCTCTCCCCGAGGTTTGGAGAGGGCCTGGTGTCTCCCCTCCTCCCTCCCCGCACACCCTGCCTCTTCATGAAGACTGGTCAAGAGGTGGCCAGGGGCCAGCTGGTGGGCAGCTTCCCCGGGCTCAGCAGGGTGAGTCCCTGGAACCTGGCCTGCTGGGTGGCGTCCCCAGCAGCACCCTCGTCACTGCAGAGCTCTGGCCTATGGTGACCCTGTGGTCCTTGCAGCAGGTCCTGTAGTTACCCAAGAGAAGTGCAGTCTGTCAGCATCTCGGGAGCTACTTGGGTTTCACAAAACTGTGGTTTGGGGTCAGCTCAGACTATTCAAGGGTGATGATCTGGTGACCTGGGATCAAGGACGATCCTGGGAATAGGAAGAACGGGAATGTGTGCTCCTCACAGGAGAGTGATGGCGGGAATTTCTATGTAGTGAGAATCGGCTCTTGCATTTCGCTTCAAATGAATATCGTGGTCCTGCAGATTCTCTGGACAACCTTCAGGCTGATGTGACAGTTTTATCATTAAGGATGACTAGAATCCTGGCCCCCACAAGCCACATTCTTTGAAACTGAGCTCAACGAGTGTCTGTGGAGTGGCGGCCAGGGCTACTGAGCGAGGTACCCCTCCCAGGACCTGAGGCCCACTTCTGCAGGTGCAGGGGGGGAGCAGGCCTGGCTCCTGGCCTGTCCTGTGTCCTGGGCTCTGTGCAGGCTGCGTGGGCCACCAGGGCCACCACTGTGAAACCTCTTTTTCTCTTTGGTCAGATATGGTGCGAGTCGCCTTCACAAATGCTTCAGAAAAGAACTTTGCTGAATTTTTTAACCTCCACAAAACTGCCAAGGTGAGAAGGAGCCGTGGTTTTCAAAGGCTGACCCCAGGCTGGTGGGGGACCCTACCTGTTTCCTCAGGCCGTTCCCGGCCTCCCATTGGCTCTTGGAGAAGCAGTTCCTCCATCGGGCAGGTGGATCCTCTGATGAGGCCCCCAGGTGGGGTTGGAGCAGAGGAGGGCTGGGGAGGGAGAGAGCAGGCAGAATCGCAGCCTGTGACTCTCAGGAGAGAGGCCGCCTGGGTCAGGTTGGAGGTCACCAGGTGGGCGTGACCCCAGCTGTGGCCCTCAGTGAGAAGCTGAATACAGAAACAGCATCTGTGGAGAGTGCACAGAGAGCGAGGAGTGAAGGGGACCCTCCTGCCCAGAGGACAGGCGTGGCCCAGAGCCCAGCAGGGCCACCTGGGGAGAGGGCTGCTCAGTGGGCCCAGGACCCCAGGGCTCTGACCTCAGCTGGGGTCAGGCCTGCATGAGCAGGGGGTGGCCCAGGCTGCCCCAGGCCGTGCCGTCCTCACCTTGGTGACCCAGGCTGTGGGCATGCTGATGACCTACTGTCTATTGCCCGGGTGACTTGGTGCAGGGAGGCTGAGCGTCTCTCTCCCCGCAGTCCAAGATTGAGGACATCAGGCTGGAGCAAGAGCAAGGAGCGGAGAGGTGCATCCGGCTGCACTTCCAGATGGAGCAGATCGTGTACTGCCAGGACCAGGTCTACCGGGGCGCGTTGCAGGGCGTCAGGGAGAAGGAGGCAGAGGAGGAGAAGAGGAAATCCCACGGCCAGAGCCAGCCTGTCTCTGCAGAGGAGTCGTCCATGGCTGAGATCTTTCAGCACCTCGATGCCTATCGCAAGGTGCGTGTGCAGGGTCTCCATCCTCGGGGTTCTGTGGTTTCCCTGCTGCCTGAGCACCTCTCTGTCTATGGCACGGTGGCTGTGAGGTGACCATCAGCCAGCTCCATCTCTCAGCCCTGGGTGAGCCTCCCTGGGGGCAGCCCCACCTCAGGTAGACAGAAGTGGTTGTGGCTTAGAGCACTTGGTAATCTGGCTTCCACTGGCTGTGTGGCTCTGGCCAAGCTACTTACCCTCTCTGAGACTTGAATTCTTCTCTGTGCAGTGCTGTCTCATGGAGAATGTTCCCTGAGAGGCGTGTGGGCGAGTCCCCCAGCACAGGGTTGGGATGGCTTGGCAGCTCCACAGGGACCCATGTCCTGGAGAAGCCTGCTTGGCCTGGTGCTGCCTTTGCTCCCCACTTGAAGTCACAGGTGCAGCTCAGGCGGAGCTTCTGGGGCCTGAGCATCTGCAGAGTGAGGTGCTGGCCCTCCTGGTTTCCAGACCCAGCCCTCTCCACTCTGGGCTGCGGTGGGCAGAGTGTCTCTGTGAGCACCTTGTACAGCCCGCAGCTCTGCCTGGATGGCCTGTGCCTGGGGGGCCCAGGGGCACTGTGGCTCGTGGCCTGGTGCAGTGCATGGGTCCGGGTGGAGAGCACCCACAGAGCGCAGGGCTGGCTGACAGGTCCCAGCCCCAGTCCCTGCAGACCCAGGGCTGCAGACCCGGAGTGAGCGGATTGGGGGTGGCAGGAGTGCAGGGCCCATCCTTCCCGCAGCCCCTGGCACCTGTGTGCTCAGGCTGCCCCAGGGGGCACAGGGGATTTTGGGAGAGGGCGAGGTGTGACAGAGCAGAATGGCTGACCCTGCAAGTGCGTGGCCACCACCCCGTGGGAGCCTGCAGCCTGCCCCAGGAGCAGCCCTTCTCCAGGGTCTTGTGGCTGCTCCCAGGTGATTCTGTGCACTGCAGAGCTGCGCTGCACCTGAGTGTTCTCCTCCTTCTGCACAAGGGCTCGCAGGCTGCCCACGGCCCTGCACCTGGCCCCTCGCACTACTCCCTGGAGATGGGTCCACTCAGATGCCAAGAGCAACCTGGCTCCCCCAGTGACTGCCCAGTGTCCCACATTAGGGTGGAGCACAGGAGTCTGTCATCTCTTGACAGCACCATCTCTTTGCAGCCTCTGCTACCACAGGGATTTGCAGAGGTGACCCTGTCCACAGCCCATGCCTGTGGAAGCCTGCAGTGCCCGGGCCAGGTTCTGCAGGCAGACAGGACCAGAGGGTTATGTCTAAAAGTCAAAAATTGGCCAATGACTGTGGCCAGTGACTGTGGAGCTGGAAACTGGGGCCAAGTGAGCCGAGCCCGCGGCTGGGGTTTCCTCTTGCCCTTGGATGTAGGTTTGCCCTGAAGGCCTCTCCCTGACTGGACAAGGCCACCCACAATGTAGAGAGTCATCTCCTTACTTAGGGCCAGCTGACCCTTGCATGCCCAGGTCCCAGCATGTCCCCCAAGGTCCCCTTGGCCCGCAGCCGTCCTCTCCTGCACAGCAGCTGGGGCTCCCCTGCTCACCCCAGGCGCCCCATGCTCTGCTCCCTCTCAGCCTCCCCTGCAGCAGCCACTGGGTGCTCCTCGCCTGCCTGGCATCTTCTTGGCTGGCATCTGACCACACGCTTCATCTCCTGGGCCATCCCAGAGGGTCCTGCCCTGCATCCTGCCTCCCAGGGAGGGAGACTGGGCCCCAGAGAGGTCGCAGGACTTGCCAAGCTCCGGCACCTGCCGATTTCCTGAGGTCGGCCTGTGCAGAGGAGCCGTCGGGGATGTGGAGACGTGGTTTTGTGCCGAGTGTGTTGCTGCCTGGTTAGGAATGGCTGCCTCTTCCACGAGGACGAGCCGATGGTCAGGGAGGCTGGGAACACTCGCTCCAGCTCGGTCTTGGACACCTGTGGGGTGGTTCTCTGCCCTGTGCAGGGCTCCCCTCGTCCCCAGCACAGAAGCCTCTGTGGGGACTGAGCCCAGGCGAGGGCCTGCACCCCCAGTCTGGGTCCGTCCAGGGTTCCTGTGGGGAGGTCAGCGTGCCCTGCTGACCTGTCCCTTCCTCCCAGGAGGCTCACAACCGCATCTCCAGCCTCGTGCCCTTGATCATCCAGTTCTTCGTCCTGAAGACGTTCGGCCAGAAGCTGCAGACGGCCATGCTCCTGCTCCTGCAGGACAAGGACGCCTGTGGCTGGCTGCTGAAGGAGCGCAGCGACACCAGCGACAAGAGGAAGTTCCTGAAGGAGCGGCTCTCGCGCCTGACCCAGGCTCGGCACCGGCTGGCCAAGTTCCCTGGCTAAGGCTGTGTGCACCAGGTCCACAGCACAGGGAGGCGGCCCTGGCCTCTCCTGGTGGCTCTGTGACCACTGTCCTCCAGCAGAGAGGGAGCATGAGCCCGGCTGCCCAGGCAGGGGCTCTGCTGGCCCCTGGATAAGGGTTGGGGCTCTGGGAGGCTGTGATTCCCAGTGGTCAGAGGAGAGCCCCTGAGCTCGGCCAGAGGGCTCAGCGCCCTGCCAGTTTCCTTCCTGATTTGCCATGTCCTCTCAGGAGCCATGTCTTGCTGTGGGGGGAGGGCTCGTGGTGGGTGTCCACCTGTCCCTAATAAACCCTGCTGCCCGGCTCTTCTCCGACAGGCTTTGTCCCTGGGGATCCCTGGATAAGGCAGGAGGAGGGGCCTTGTGCCCGACCTGCCCTAAACTGCCCTCCCCAGGGTCTGGGAGGACAGAGGACAGCAGTGTCCTGCTGATTCCTAGAGATGGCCGGGGAGGGGCCAAGCTTGGAAAGACAGTGACCTCAGGTTGTCACTGGTGCCTGCTGGGCGCCTGGCCTGCAGGTGAGGCTCTCAGGTCCTGGTGGAGAGGACGCTCTGCCAGTTCTGGCGAGAGGTCCTGGCCGAGAGGGCGGCTGGTGGATGTGCAGGACGGAGAGGCCCTGTGTGGCCAGCAGGGAGACCCATGGGCAGCCACCAGCCACACCCACACCCGAGCGTCCATGCTACTGCTTGACCTTCATCCCCTGGGGCCACCAGGATGGCGGACAGCCGTGCAGCAGTGCCCCGGGGATGGGGGCACCATGGCCTTGGCCCTCAGAGGAGCAGGGCAGCTCTTGCCTTCAGGAATGCCTGAGCCCACACAGGAGGCAGGGACCACCCCAGGCACGAGGGGCAAGGACCAACCAGCAGAGGGACATGGTCTAGGACACTCAGGCCGACCAGTCCTGCTGTCCTTGTGTCCCTGTGCAGCCACAGTCGAGTGATCTCCTCTAACTCTGCTGCCCCTTGACGGGGAGGGACTCAGGCCACACTGGACGCTGCCCATCAGGGGCAAGGTGGGTCTGGGTATGCCCCTGCCTCTCCCATGCACACCCCCACCCAGATCTCTTCTGACCATGAAGCTTCTTAATCCCTGGACGGTGTCGGGTTCGCCTCCAGGACGGGATGCAGGAGGACTGTGGGCTCGGCATAGTCCGCAGCTGTGGCAGGTGTCGCCACGAGGCGGGGGCTGCCTGTGCCCCTGCAGCAGGACCCGGAGCCCGGGAGCTCCAGAGCTGACCGCCGGCTGCAGTGAGGAAAGGACTGCGCCAGTTCATGAGGCTGGGCGGGCACAGCCACTCCTTGTTTGGTTTTTTGTTTTTTTGTGGTGTTGGGGATTGAACCCAGGGCCTTGTGCATGCGAGACAAGCACGCTACCCTCTGAGATGTGTCCCCACCCCAGTGCCACTTCCTAATGGCCCCAAGTCTCTCTCTCCAAAGACACTACTTGTCCTCTCCCTCCAGAGACACCCGGTGTCCTCTCCCTCCAGAGACACCCCTGGTCTCTCCCTCCAGAGACACCCCTGGCCTTTCTCTCCAGAGACACCCCCAGGCTCTCCCTCCAGGCACCCCAGGCCTCTCCCCATCCTGCCTGGGAGCAGCCCTAAGGCTGAGGCATTCACAGTGGCTGCCGCCCTCTGGTGGCTGCTGGAGTCACTGCCCATGGCCAGGTCCCTTGCTGGGCTCTGCCCAATCTTGCAGGGACTTGCAGTTCTGTGGGACAGAAATGGAATCCGAGGTTTCCAACCTGACATGGACTCTGCTCTGCTGTGTGCAGTTTTCCTGGAGATCCCTGGAGGGTCTGGGGTGGGGGGGAGTGGAGTCTGGCTCCAGGGAAGGGCAATTTATCTGGAAGCTAAGCCTGCTGGGGCTCCGCCATGTCCAAGATGTGCCATAACACACCAGAGTCCCCAGACTTTCCTGACAGGTCATAGGCGGCCAGGGGTAATGTCCTGACCCTTCCCCTGACTCCTCACTGGGTGGGGCCTGTGCTCAGTCCAGGGCTGGACTGTCCTCTGCCACCCCACACGGGGGTGACCCCAGCTGCTGCCCACTCCATGGCAGCTGCCTGACGTCCATCTCCTGGGCAGAACATACTAGAACACCAAGGATGCGTGCTCATGGCCCTCCCTGAGGGCAGCTCTGGAATGGGCCCCACAGGCTGAGCAGAGGCAGGAAGGGCCAGAGAGAGCTGGACAGAGGAGAGCGGAGCACCTGGTCTCTGGAACCCGGCTGGCCCGCTGGAGCTGGACCAGGCTGGGAGGAGCTGGGGCTGGCGTGACCCTTGCTCCCTGACGCTCTGGCCTGGCTGTCCTCTCCCATGCCAGGGCCTCCGCCCTCAGGACAGTCCTCCTGTGGCATAGAGCTGGTCCCTTACCAGCGTGGGGAAGCCCCAGGGCAGGCTCAGTCCCTTGAGGAAGAAGTGGATCCCGGGGGAAGACCCTCCCCCAGGCGGCCATGAGCCCCAAGGCCTGAGGTTGGTCTGGTTCCCCTTTATCCTCCCCCAGACACAGCGCTCCTGGGAGTGCAGGGATTTCACATGGTCTGAGTCCCGGTCCCAGTGGGGGGCTCCAGGTGGTCTGTGGCTCTTGGGGCTCAAACACCCACCATGGGTTTGTTCCCACTGAGCGGGTGACTACGCTAGGGATGTTCTCCGTGTGACTTTCCAAGTAGTGAAAGTCCCGGCTCCTGCCTCAAACACTGGGCGCAGCCGGTGAGCTTGGTCCGGGCCATGCCATGCTGTCCAGCCCTGTGTGGGCTTGTTGGGCCGTGCAGGCCAGCTCTAGGTCAGCTCTGGTCACAGCCTTGGATCTGGAATCAGAGCTGGATCCACTGAGCCACGGCAGAACTAGAGCAAAGGGCTCCAAGCTTGCCAGGGACCTGAG